TTATAAGTAAATTAAGTGATTGTCCTAAACCGGATGGAATAATGATAAGGGTAACATTGGTGCTTGTGTTTATAATACAGCACATTGTTTTGTGACATACTGTATTGCAATATTGGGAATCTTTTTATTCAACAGGAAGAACTGGGTCATGTTTATTTTTATGGTTTTAAGATGTGAAAAGCGCGTTTCCACCTTTCTTTTTTGTTGGAGCTATCTTATCGCATATCATTTCCTCAGGTGTCAATGCAGAAATTGCTGAAATTACAGTAGAATATTTGTATTTCATTTGGGTACCGTATGTAAGAGGTAGAAAAAAGATAATATTAGGTAATGGTGGATGCCATGTTTACTGCTTTTGTTAATATGATATTTAATGAAAGCTATAATCTATGCTACAATGGAGACAATGTCAATATTCTCAACGCATTTTAGTTATCCTCCTCTTGAATAACCTACTTTCCAGAGTGGTTAGAATAAAAACGTTGTTCTTTGTATTAAATTAAGTGGTCATCTTATTTTTAGGTACACTTGCACACGATGCTCCAGCCTCTATTTCAATTTATCCCAGAGAGAATACAGCACAGCCATAAATTATTCAGCTACAGTAAACATGGAAAAACATGTCTGAATAAATGACTACATGGATACAAGGTATGAAATTTCACATCAGCTCAACAACAACACTATGGCCCCACTACAAAGCTATATGATGTCGTGGAAGTCTCACCATCTTAATTTCCCTATGGGTTACTGCAAGAGTAGAGAGTCATCTACTATGCCTATCCTGAAGCTTTGTAACGGGAAGTTGATAATTTGAGATGTGATTTGATACCCAACACCCTTGTTTACTCTCAGACAATTAGCCAGCCATGTATTCCACACTGCACTGCTATAATTAAGAGCTTAATCAGGCAAGGGGTTGATGTGGAATGAGACTGTAATAGAAACTCCCCTTCAGGACAATTTTTACATTCGTCTGCCTTGTTAACTATCAGTTTTAGAGAAGCGGTGGGACATAGAAATGTATCTGTTCCCAATCTGACATGTTGTCATGAAGAACAGGCCCACTGAGAAATATGTACTCCAGTAAGTATTAATGTGGATACAAAGAAAATATCAAGAGTCCAATGATATTTCGAGGATAAAGACTTCAAATAATCTTTTAATAATATTCAGCAAGATACTAAAAATTATTACTTTTGTGTGTCTTTTGTTTGTCACCTTAAAATGTTCAAAAAGCACCGCTTCCTTTAAAAAGTTCATTTGATATGGATGAAAATATAATTAAAGCTTTTCCTTGCACCAAGGAATGCAGAGCTAAAACATCAAAAAAAATATTGCTGTCCAAATACATTTGGAGCACACTGTATGCCATTTGATAATGAGACCCAAAGGAAAGTGTGGTTAGAGCGTTATGTTTGCCAATGAAGCGTCTGAAAATATCCCACATTTTCCACTTATCACTTAACCAAAAACAACTACAGTCTGTACGGTAGCCTAGTTTCCCTCTGCTATACTGCCTCCTCCGGGCATAAGAAATCCCATGACAGCATTCAGAACCATACACACAACAAACCCACTTAGTTCCTGGAATCATGTTTTGGATAGGGAGAAATTCTAGGCCGCTGTGAAAAGACAAGCCCACAAAGCAGAACTTGCTTTTTCTTCTTGTTAAGGCTATAATGTACAGCTGATACCTGGTTTGTACGCTCCAATGTAATCCTCTCCCTCTGGTAAATGCCACAAGGAATAAGCAGTCTTGACCTTGGGAGACGCGGGGGCCGGATTTGAGGGTGTCTTTTTAAAAGCCTGGGTGTGTAATTGAGTAGAGCGGCGGGGTGGCTGGCTTTGATGGTGTTCGTGCAAGCACAAGGGAGCGTAAGTACGTGAGGGAACACACAGGATAAAAAAGGCAAGCAGAGGATACACACAGACATACACAAGCAAACACACACACACACACACACACAGAAACTCTGCGCGTAGGCCGAAATCAGTGGATTCAATAAAGCACATACATGATCAACAGCCAGGAGGTTTGGTACACTGTGAGGTTTCAGGGCAGCTGTTGGCACCACGAGGCTCCTCATCACCCAGACAGATCAGAATGAGCCGGGTTTTTCCTCCAAGAAGCCCTCCAGTCCTCAGTGTAGCCCGCTCCAAAACACCAGCTTTGATGGGGGTTCAACTCGACCAACAAATCTCCCACCCCAGGACATCATTAGTTCAATTTTGGCATTAAAGCCAGTGGTCTATTGGACTAGAAACCTTTATCGCATGCCCATCCCGCTCCTGATGGCGGTTTTCTTAGATCCACCTGCCCTGTGCTATGCTGTGTTATGTTTACCTGCTGCTGCCAATGTCAGGTTATAGAGTTTATTTCATATCAAGTTTCACATGCCTGTTTTATTTTACAGGTTTTCTTTATTACAATTGTATATAGATGTGACCAGATTCATTCTAACCTACAGCTGAACAATTCACAGTTTTCATAGCTAATCAAAGTTTTTTTTTTAAATTGCATAATCAACAGCTTTAGGAGGTGAAAGTTTTAGTCACCTAGAGTTGATTTGGCCCGGCTAGAACTGACACATTTATCCAGCTGATTAAAATTAGTTCTGAGTTGGACAAACAACTAGAAGATTCTCTTGGTTGCCTGCTTCATACAATATGTTGGAAAATATGTACGTTGGTGTTTGTACTACAGGTTTTTAAAGCTGGTTTTATCTGATGTTTAAAGTTATCATTGACAGAAGGCTGCATGTTTTTGCTGTTCAAAAGCACCAACAGAGTGGTGGGTCTTGCTGTGGAAAAATGATCGAGGTCACAGGTTTTCAAACTGAGGTGCATTTCTCCTGGGAGAGAGTTGCAGAGAGAGAGACGTGAGGTAAAAAACCCCTTTTTAAAAAGCCCAATTGCCTCAGTTTGCATCATAATTCCTTCTTGGAGTCATAAGTCAGTCAAATCTGGACACACAGACAGTACACATACATACTTACATACAAATTCAACGTGACTCAGACTTTCTGATCTATGTCCATCACATTTTCTTCAGTCATAGATTGGTCAGACAAGGCTTAATTTAGTTATTTATATTCTATCATAAAACAATGTACTGTACAGATGACACAGAAACTGCTACTTGTCATTCAAATATGTAGCTGTAATCCAAAAAATAAAACGTCACTTTTAAATATCATGATTATAATTGAATATTATCGAGTAATTTTAAGTCTACTACTAATATGAGGGCTAAATTGGTAAATTTTTCTATAGAAAACTAGCCAAGTCAACTGAGAAGTTAGCTCTCCTGTCTGGCGGGTTTGAACACTGGAGGCTGTCAACAGCAAGCGACTGCATTATCTTTTCTGACTCAGTTCATGTGGAACAAAATTAATTTGTGACTATGCTTAATACAAACTTATCTTGTTTAAAACTGTGCAGACCACATGAGTTTAATTATAGAAAGTAACAATTTAAAATTGCAATCATATTGCTGCTTCAAAAATTCACAATTACATATAAATATTTCAGCACTTATAACAACGATTACTCTTCCTTGAAAGATGTGATATATCTCTTGTCATTTTAATTTCAGTAAAACTTTGATGCAAAAGTTAGTTATCTCAAGTTATCAACCCTTCTGAAAATACAAATGAAGGGTAATTGTACAAATGCCATATATTCCAGCTTCATCTCTCTTCACTTAAATTGGACTAAGGTCAGCAATTACCTTCGAAGAGACAGAGCTTGCTTAGACGAGAAATGGCAAAGAGGACAAGAAGTAAAGGATGACAAGAACACTGGCCATCAAGGCCATTTGGTTCCTCTATTCATCCACAGGAGGACTGAATGGCTGGTTCTATTGAAGGTGATAAAGGACACACCTACCAATTTTGAAGCTCTAACAAAAGCAGAGTTGATTAATATAAGCCTCTGTAAGACCATCAGTACTCCATCCAACAACAGAGGCGAACAAGCCCAGACAAACCATAGCAGTGCTGTAGAGAGACTTCTCTAACGAGCTCATCAGCCCCCTTCTGGATGACTAAAAGAATGATTTACAGTGTAATGTCCAGCTAGGACAATAATGTCTTACAATCCAACTTGATTACAAAATCTTCAAGGCGACTAGCAGCCATTATGTAAATGACTCATTTGGTTCAAATTTTGTTTACACTAATGCAATACAACAGTATTAGGGTACATGAGTAACAGTAAAAGTCACACAGCTACACAGGAAGTAGGCTTTTTCTATCTACCGTTTGCAGTAAAATAACAAAGAGTGAAATTAAGTTAAATGTTATTAACACTTATTTAGGAAGCCAGTGAGGTTGGCCTAACGGGAAGTGCTGTCGGATTAGTTCCTATAATCTAAAAGTGTGGCTGCAGTTGGAAATAGCACCTGATCTATCATTGCAGAGGTGAGAGAAATCCATGACTGAATGTTTGATGAGGCACTTTGCAGCCCTGCAGGAGTCTCCTCTGCCTGACTGCTGCTGTGAAAATCCTGACAGGACCTGCAGGTCAAAAAGGTCCAAAAACTCTTCTGCCTTCTGGTGCAAAACAAACACAGTGTTTATGCTGTTATGCAGCCTAGTGTCCTGGTCTCATACTGTTTCCCATATAATGAGTAGCAGAAAGTTCATACACATACACAACTAAGTAATTAAAAGTAATTTCTGTTAGTACACAGTGACTGACAGCTCGCTTGATACTGCATTGTTCTAATGAGGTGAAGCCCTGTTAATCTGGTACTCCAAGCTGAGCAAAATAAACCATAATGAAGCATTTTCAAACAGTGTCAGGCTCCTACATGGTGAATGTGTGGTTGGGGGTGGGTGCGAGGTAACGCATACAATAACTTTACATATGTGTGCATGCAGAAAGCACAGCATGTCTCACATACACTCATTGTTTCTCTTTTGTTGTGCTGCCTGTCTATTCCTGGAAGTCATTCATTCCCTGTGGGTGGCTGCGTGAGCCGCTGAGTAACTCACTCTGAGTGAAGCGTGGAGGATTGTCGTTGACGTCACTGAGCCTGACGGTGACGGTGGTGGTCCCGGATAATCCGCCCAGGTGGCCACCCATGTCCTTGGCCTGAAGCAGCACAAGGTACTGGTCCTGGGTCTCCCTGTCCATGTCGGGTACAGCCGTACGCAGAATACCTGGGGAACACATACAGACACAAGCAGTAGCATCTGGGTGGCAATGAGGCATTTAAAGCAAGGAAAAATAAGGTTTTTACTGCAGCCAAATGGCCATTATATATCTATGTGGGACTAAAAGGGTTTTTTAATCAATATTTATGACTCAATGATTACCAGGCTTCTGCCTTCCAAAATCCACTTTCTGGCCTGTGCTATGTTTTGGAACAAAAGCTCCCTGCACATTGGGATCTCAACCAGCTCTATTCACATTTTTAACTACTGTGTCTTCTAAAGTATCACAACATCTTTTCTATCATGATAGCTTAGGTCTTCACCAAGCATTTGTCGGTACCGATTTCTAATGAGGCATACTTTACAATAGGTTTATGAGCTCTAACTAATGATAATAAATCATTTATTAATGCTTCAATTCTCTCCCCGGCAATGTGATGCAGTTCATTTGTTCACTCATTCTACAGTTGTAGACTTGATGGATCATTGTAATGTTGGATAAACCGTATTTCAGTAGTAAAACAGCAAATCCATTTGACTTGATACCCAATGAAGTGGTGGACTGTGAATCTTAATGGACACTGTGACCTTTTATTAATGCCTTATTAACATTTATAACAGCAGATCTGATTGCTCATTATGAACTGAGAAAGTCATGACCCTTTATTAAAGACTTCATCAGGACTGCGGTCATACATGTTAGTAAGTCATTAATAAAAGGTCATGGGTCTCTTGCTTTCCAATAAGTTGGTATTTCATGGAGGTTGGTCCAGATGCTCTGCAGCTCTTTTGTTAAAGGTGACTGGTAAAATGGTCCATTGGAGGCGTCTGCCTGATTAATTACAGAGATACAGAAAGTTACAGCCAAATGTATTTTTTAACAACCAGGCAACCAAAAATGTGTTTTTATTGCTTACTGGTGATAGAGCTAGAATGGTAAATTAGCCAGCCCCATACATTAGCCCATATTGGTTTATTGCATGTATCAGAAACTGCAGACCAGAAATGCTAAAGATTATATATATTTACATTTTTGTTTAAATGTGTGTGTGTAAAGTATGTTGGCCAATATATAATTTTTGCAATTTTTAAATTCTAAAATATAAATATTGTATGCCTCGGAAATCCAGTATCAGTTGGGCTATAATTACCAAATAATGAAGCAACAATAAATCATTCAGTAGCCATAAATGAATCCATTAGTTACAAATAGTATTTTACAAAGTATGCCTTATTATAAAGTGGTGCACACTTCTATAAGGCACTGTATTTTACTCATCCTCCTTGTGATGATTGGACTGTATTTTTACTGTATATATCTCATACTCGTAAACTGTACTTATGTAAGCTGTTCCATATAGCTGCCAGCGTTGTTAGCAGTTCCTTCAACATTATCAAAGGTAATAAAGTCATCGAGTTGTTGATGTGTGAAAAAAAATCCATAGCTTCATCTTTAGTAATTAAAATGTTTTCACTCTAATTGACAGATCGAGTTCAACTTAAGCCTCTTGGGCTTTGGAAGCCCTTTCAAAGCCTATTGGACAGAGTCAAACTGCACTGTCATCAGGCTGAAGACATGACTGCTTCCCTTGACAGTCTGACAGCTTTTCTGACTTTTTGAAGACACTCAGTTTCCATTTGACAGCGACAATATATTACTTAATGGTCCGTTAAAGGCCTACACACACACACACACATACAAACACAGATAGGCGAAGAGGCTCATATGGTAAAGATAAATCACCCAACACCGACAGTCAGACATGCTGACAGAGCGTAAAATTTCGTTCTGTATCTCACACTCTTTAACAGCACACCAAGACACATCACTTACAGGCATTCAACATCGATCACCTGCTCTGCGTAAATGACCTCATTCTGCTACATATGATTGGATGTTGCACATCAAGTGCAGGCTGCTCTCACCCAACATCAGCCAAAACACCGGTCTGGATGACTTGGCAGCTCAAGGTGAATCACATTCAGCGTGGGCTGTTTTGAATGCTAACGAACGAGCAGGAATATGTCTAGGTTTCTGAGCAGAATTCATAAGCAAACAAACTGAATATATGAGTGAATGTGCTCGCCTCCGAGTGTACGTTTTGAATAAGGGCTTTGGTGATGGAGCCGACGAGGAACAGGGTGATTGAAAAAGGGAGATAGAGAGGGGAGAGAAGAAGGGAGAAGAGAGCGGACACGTTCAGAATACTAAAGCTCGTCTAATAGCACAGTGTCACTGCTAATACACACTGGGTGGAATTACACTTATATTCCACAATTAGCATTTCAAAAAGCGGCACAGCTCTGTTCGCTTGCTGCAAAGGTCCTCACATGTCAAAGCAATCAATTACTGAACATTGACATTCAATGAGCAAAACACAAGTATCGGCCACCTGTGACCCATGTGGGCAAAATAAACACTCACACACAGGCACATACTCCCACACGCAGATAAAAAAAAACCTAACAACTTCAGCAGCCTCGTCGTGAGCTAAATACTAAGTGTTTATATGCGAGCTGTCAATCAAAACTGCATCTAAAGCATCAGACAGTTAGAACTCCATTTCTGAGCCAACCAAGCAATGATTTCCCTCCAAGGTACGGTGCTAAAAAAAGTAATCATAATAAAATAAAATAAATAAATAAGCGCCCCCCACCCTCAGCCTCCTCCACTCATCCAAAAACTTTATGCCCTTGGGTGACATGTGTGACACGGAGACATATCCAGAGCACACATAGCAGACAGGTCCTCTGAGCCCTTTGTAATCTGCCCCGTGTAACAGTTCACAAACCTTTGCTGAAGTCTCTCTTTGAACACATGTCTTTTTGTTTTTGCTTCATGCAGAAATAATAACATTAGGCTGCTGCTGTGTTTTGTTCGGCGCACGCAGGCCCTGCCATCATGAATACATTTCTGCCAACTCATACTGGAGTGAACCGGGGGAGGGGGGAACACTGGGAGAGGGAGGGGATGTGCATGCGTGTGTGCGTTGAAGAGAGTGTATGTGTGTGATTCTTGAGTGTTGGGTGTTGGGAGATGAGGGTGTTTGAGGGGACACAAGAGGGAAAAGGGAAGTGAGAAAGATGGATGACTAAGTGTGACAAGAGAATGAGGGATGCACGGGGGGGGTTGAATGTATGTGCACGCGTGTGTGAGTGAGAGAGAGAGAGAGAGGGATAGAGAGAGTGTAACAGTGAAAAAAGAGAGATGCGTGTTTCCTCTGTGCATTCTCGGATGCTTTGCTCCACCTGTGGTTTGCACGCTCACCTGCATGTACGTGTGTGTGTGTTATCATGTCTGTCCGCTCTCACATGTTCATCATTGTATGTGTGTGTGTGTTCACCGCTCAGGTCTGAATTGGCTTGTTTGCTCATACAGTATGTGTGTTCGCACTTGAACATCTTGAGTATATTTGCTTTCGCGCAGCGCGTGTGTATTAGCTTTCCGACATCTGCGCATCTTTTACATTTCTCCACCCATGTGTGTTACAGCGGGAACACACACACACAGATACATAAACACACTCACCTGTCTGGGGATCGACGGAGAAGTACTGTTGGCCCTGCACCAGTGTGTACACGAGCTTGGCGCTGTTCCCATAAGTCGGGTCATCAGCATCTGTCGCTGTCACCTGGATTATAGACGTGCCTGCAGGGAGGAGAGACGAGGGAGGAAAGGAGGAAAATAAAAAGAAAGAGCGTCCATGAGGTAGGAAAAGGGAAAGGGGGGGGTAAGCACAAAGGAGACAGAAAAAGAGAAGGACTGAGTAAAAACAAGGCAGAGCTGAAGCTAAGTGGACAGGATACAGCAGCACTTTAAGAGAATAAGAAAGCTTTATATCAAGTCAACCTCCACACTCCTCTCCCACTCCTTCTCTTTCAATCTCTTTTCGACGGCAGTGTGACAAATACTTTCTTCGCCCTCCCCCCACCCCTTCTTCCCCTATCCTGCCGCTCACCTTCTTTCCTCCCCCCCAGCCCACCCTCGATTCCCTCTGCCTCACTTCATTTCTCTTCATCTCCGTCTCCAATTCCCTTTAGCTCCCTCTCTCAATCGGACCGTCTGTCTCTTCAACGGCCTCCATCTCCCTCTCACTCCCGTAAATCTTCTCTCTGCGGCCCGTGAAGTGTCAATTTGGCATGGGATTTTTTTGCAAATTGTTGGCAAAAAAAATGGAAATATATGAAATAACAGTAAACACATTTCATATGTAGAGTAGTCATATATATCTATATTTATAGAAGAAGTGCGGGTGGAACGACTATTCCCAGTGGGACTCGAGCCAGACAAGATAAGGAGGAAGAAGGGGATTTGTGGGAGCAGCTGCTACTTTATTTCTGATCAAAGTAATGACAGTATCACTATAGGAAAGATTGGTAGTGTGTGTGTGTGTGTG